TTTTTTTTATTATATCTACATATCCCATGCAGTATGCAGAATAGCAAAATAACCCCGCAGAAATTAACAAATTGTTTGCGAATACAATTACTCAAGAAAAGTGCAGGATTTATGTTTATGAGCGTAATTTTTCATCTGTCACGTGTTTTGCTATCCAATAGCATCTTCGGACGTCACAATACTATAGAAAAAATTCGATTCACTCCTTCACACCCCCACCTCACAATTTATTTTTTTACAAGAAATTTTGTGGAATGGTTATTAAATACTCTTTTTTTTTTTGAAAATCCATATTTTGAGTTAATATTGGAAACTTGACGATCTATGAGAGCATTTTCGGAGAATATTTGATACTCATTTCACAAAGTTTCTCAGAAAATTATAGGAGTACTGTGGGGTATAGTTCTCAATATAAATTCAGAATATGCATTTTTATAAAATAATATCAATATTTCATACCCATTCCGCCAAGTTTCTCGAAAAATATCAAGAGTGAAATAAGGGTGTTACTATATCGATCGTTTCAGTATATGCATTTTCAGATAATGATTTCAATATTTAATAGCCATTTCGCGAAAATTATTCCAGTCAGTGAAGTAAGCGTGCCCTGAAGGCGGCTATGTACGTGAAAATGTGACTTGCTTTACTGTCTACAGTGTTTTAAAAATCTAACTTGCTTCACTATCTACAGTGTCTACTGATGAGCTATACCATGATCCGAGACACACAGTAATAAACGTTTACCCTGTCCCTCAAGTCCCATTCCATTTGAGTTGACGTTGATAACAACAAAACCATGTAATGTGCCTGGATGCGAACTTCGATGAAGCGTACGTACAATGAGTGATTTGCGAACACGTGAACGTATGTACCCGCTGCCCGAATAAACCATCGGTATTTGAATTTGAGGGCGAGCGCACACCGAGACAATTTTAGGTGAAACAATAATCTGGGGCGCAGATTTTTCAAACTCGGCAAGGAAACAAATTTATCAAGCTCGTCATGACATAGAAGGCTACGGCCCTGATGAATCTGCATTACAAAATTTGTTTTTAAATTAATAAATATGTGTCTTAAAATAATCAGCAATGAAATGACCGAATCACACAACCTAGTCGCGCGACCGATGGACAAAGCTCAACGATCTCGCATCCCGGTCGCTTGGTAGTCAAGCGATTTAGACTGTGTTTACTTTCTCAAATAATCCCCATCCACGAATATTTTGATGGAGTTATTGAATTTAATTTTGAAAACATTGAAGGGTGTGTGGGGGTAGTTTTTCAGCCCGACAAAATATTTTGAGAAATAGGTCTCATTCAGCACCTCTCATAGTATGTAATTATGCAAAAAAATCCCCATCCACGAATATTTTGATGGAGTTATTGAATTTAATTTTGAAAATATTGAAGGGTGTGTGGGGGTAGTTTTTCAGCCCGACAAAATATTTTGAGNTATTTGAAGAAATTATGGATTTTTCTTTAAAAATTATTATATAGGGAGTGGGGGTTGATTTTATCCGCGACAAAATATTTCAACATAGGGGTTTTGTTCTGTATGCTTCAATGAATATATTCGAAGAAAATAATCCACACTCACGTATGATGTGAAGGAATTACGGATTTGCGATCATTGAGTAAAGTCATTGCTGGCCACGAAATGGATACTCATTTTGGGAGCCGCTGATAATGGGGTTTCGCGCTACTCTTCGACAAATCCATGGCTAGAACTCGTGGCTGCTTTCACACTGATTATAATCTTCAGTATTATTTGAGATTCACCTAAACAATTCGTTCGAATTTTATACAAATAATTCATTAGCATTTTATCAGCATTATTCTCTTTTGTGTTGATATCCGTCTGTTTAGAAAGGAGTTCAACTTTGTCCTTATTTTAGTTAGCATATTGAAGAAAAAAGTTTGTTGAGGCTCATCTCAATAAATGAATCTTAGGTTTCGGTGTTCTCTAAAACCAGCATCTGCAGTCAGTAGAATTGTACCAAAGGACACCATAGCCATTTTCAACGTACTGAAGCTGACAATATTTTTTCATTTAACGAAGGATAAAAAAGTTAAACACAATTTACTTTGAAGTTCCATGTGAGAGAATTGCCTAAATTAATATCCAATTTAGAAGTGTGTCTATTTTCAATACTATACAGTTCTACCAAAAGTCACTTTAAAAAATCCGGGTCGTGAGACGTCAACTTTCTTGCACGTAGTTCAAGTTCAACAAACCCGCTAGGAGAAAACTCGTTAAATAATAATTGGCAAAATAGCTGTTTCTTCTAATTTCAAGTTCATTTGAAAGAGAAAGTATACATACACAACACACACATAGGTACATAATGTAATACGAAATTACCTTATATTTACAGCCTGTCCACTTCAAAGAATGTGTATAATTTTATATAGATATAATTATTTTGCAACCTACATCACTTTGAATTCGAAAATTCAACCTTCAACTGCCAAGTCCCCAATTTTTTATTCTTATATTCTGCAGACCGAATTCTAAACACCAAAGTAAATTCTTCTACTTGAATATATTTTGTTAGTGAACAAGAAGATGACGATATCAAATAATTGTTTACCTCAATATATATGAGGAAAAATTGTATATAGTGGCTGTAAAATGAAGAATGTAGACTAATGGAATGTTTAAACGTATGAAGACTTAAAATCTGTTTTTAAAAATCTGTTTTTCCGTTAATCAGCTGTCGCCCTCATACAAACGACAACTCTCAGAAGTTGAGAAACTTGTGCCAGCTGAGGACTAACGAGGTCTTACCTTTTAACGTGTGATTCCTAACACTTCAAATAACTTCCTCAATGATCATAGGTACATGATAGAAGGAGCATTCATTGATTGCCTTCATACTCAACCAAAAATTGTTATCAGAATGTTACTGAAAAGTAGAAAAGTTGTATATATTGAAGAACATTTGTCTGCCTGATTTCATAATGATGAAACGTGTTCTTCAATTCCCATTCATTTGGTACTACTGACATCAGTCGAAATGATATCTATGTAGTTGAATGGCAATTTCAACAAATCATATATTTATATAAAAATGGATGTTTGTTGGTTGGTTGGTTGGTTGGTAAGTGATAAACTTCTACATCAACCGATCATGATGAAATTTGACATGTATAAGTAATTTTTCATAGAGAAGGTTTTTAGGCTATCAATTTTTCTGTAACTCGCCACTAGATGGCGCTGTAGAACAATTTTTTTGAAAGCACTATTCTGCGATACAGCAACATAGTACTACTTAGTATTACAACTACCAAATTCTACACGGGCAAAGCCGCGGGCAACAACTAGTAACTAATAAAGGAGATGAATAGAAAGTGTTGAAAGAATCTTTTGGCCACCGCGATTCCGGGTCTACTCTTTGAACGAGAATGTAATAATGAACAAGAACTGGGGGAACGAATGCGGTGCAAGAAGTTTGAAACAATCCGCAACATTTTGAAATCTCAAAAAAAAATACATATATTTTACGCTGCAGGTCGAAGTGGATGGAAACATTTAGAACATTAATTGTGAATATTTTTTTAATTGTATTTATGTATTATGTATTTTTTAAGTTCTCATTGAAAGCATGCTGTTTCAATCAATTCAACATTTCATATATAACCTAATGAATATTAGTTTTCTGACTGTTTTCTCTTGAGTTGTTTTTTTTGATTGATCACAAGAACATAAATTTATAAAATTAAATCAAACCCTTCGATTTTCTGGAATTCACAAACATTCTACAGATAAAAGACCAACCATCCTGTTACTTACCCTACCTTGGGTTTTCACAATATTTTTTGTAATGAAAACAAACGAGATTTCAAAAATATTGACAATGAAAATTTCTACATAGAAATTTCCATTTCTCTTTTCATTATGATTTCCTACCACGTAGTTACGGCTACATCCATCAATTTATTAAAAATATCTCATTGAGTCTGATGACTTCGTAGACTGTTTTATGGGGAGACACATACGTATTGAAAAAGTGAGTACCTTGAAGTTCCTACACATCATAAGACATGGATAATGCCTGCCGGAAAATAACTGATTCCTTGTATGACAAAGATTTCAAGTAATACCGAAAACTCGTTAAGATTCCTTTCAATAATGTTGCTTAATAACTTTTTTAATCTAAAATATTTTTTATTTCAGTGGTCTGGACAGCTCTTCTTGTACCCAGTGTGTATCTCTTTTCAAAAAACTTGCCCAAGAAGGACGGACAATCGTAGCCACTGTACACCAACCATCCGCACTTCTGTTTGAAATGTTCGACAAGTTGTATGCTTTATCAGAAGGAAAATGTATATACGACGGAAGTACCAGTAATTTAGTGAATTATTTAGCGAATCAAAATCTTCGATGTCCACCATATCACAATCCTGCAGATTATTGTAAGTAGTATTCTTGTATTAGCAAATCATGGAATGTACAAATTTTATCTGATCCTTAAATAAGAAGCGAAAAGGACCCTATTTCATATATGAACAGATCTATGAATTATAAGAGTACCACACACCCTCTCACAAAAGTAAAGTTCAAATATCGTTGTAGTCGACACAGGGATGAATAAGTTCAGAATCAATCAATATGTAAATATGTTGGACGCTATCCAATTCTACTACATACAAGTTCAATCAGATCTTGTTCGAACTGGAAAGACAAAATACTTAGAATCCATGAATTACACTTCGTGTAAAGTCAATTGATAAACACATCAATATTGAATTATTATCATTGTGGAAGAAAAATCCTAAAGGAAAACAAATACCTAACTTTTAATCCCTTAGAATGTTTGAGCACATATATTTACAATTATTTACCAAAAAAATGAAGAAAGATTGAACAAATGAACAAATATTGATTTTATTAACGGAGGATTGAGTATATACCAGACGTGAGTTGAATTGTTGCCTTCAGAGGTAAAATGACTGATAATCAGGTAAAATTGTTGAAGTTGAAAGTTATTATACTTTCCAGGTTAGATTAGGTGGAGTCTAGAGTCTATGTTCCCATGTTGAATTGATAGCTAATAGAGGATAGACCTCTTCTCCATAATCATAAACAGATAAAACCAGGAAATATAAAACTCTGGAGAAGGTGATTCAGCTCTGGAGTATAACAAAAAACATTGAAGAAAGGTTTATGTTAGTTTCGTCTTGAACCAATAATAGGGGACAGGTAAAAACCCTAAGATCTGTATCGTTTATACAAAATCAATTCGCATCTCAACAGTGCAATTATTTAAAACATAACTAATGTTCATATCAACGATGATGTAAGGTACATCAATCGCATAAAATTCAAACCACAAATTGGTACTAAACTGATACATCTGCCCACAACGTAGTTCTAAACGGAAAAAATATGATTGCACAAGTATATACAAGATATTTATATTCTTTGAATAAATAAGATGACTTGAAAAAATTTCTAAAATCTCCTAAATGAGGAGACATCTAGTGAGCCAAACTCCTGGAATTCTTTGGGTTTCTCCAAATTTGTGTTAGTTGCTAGGATAAATCTATGTATTTTAGATACAGGATAGATATCCTAGAAAGATACGTCTCTAAGCCACAAAACATATTTCCTTCTTTGTTTCTTTGTAGGTAGGTACAACAGCGTTTTTCACCTCATTGTCGATGAAAGCTATTTTCCGGTTTTTTTAGCCGTGTTTGGCAGGTTTTCGAGCCAGACTTTTCATCTACTACTGCGCTAGACATCATCAAAGGCGTTATGATAATGGTCCCAGAGCTTGAGTTGTTGTTCCTGTTGTTCCGACCGCAGTAACTACGAGTGCCTTCTTTTGATTTGTCGGTTTGCCGGATTCCTTGTAGCTGCGGATCTGTCTACATGGAAACCACGAAAAAAAGTGTAGGTACCTGTCTCTCAGCTGTAGCAGAACATGCTATCAACAAAGAAGGCACTCACAATATTTCATACGAATATACAGTAATACCCGATAAAACTCAAAATTACTATCCAAGAGTATACAGAGAGGAAATAAAAATTCAAAAAAACAGGAATACTTTCAATAGAAAAAAAGAGGTAATGTACATTAATGAAATCTGAATATCTGTCCTTATAGGTACACAAACAAGGTCAGGTAATCGAATCATGCGAAACCAAGCCATGCCCATTAACAATAATATAGAACCAGAGTCAATGCATTCAGAACAACACCGTTACCACATAGCTTTTGATAAGGTCTAATGTAGTAGAAGACGAAACGTCAGGCACGAGAACCGACAAACCATGGCCAAAAAACCCGAAAAATAGCTTTCACACAGTTACCTTCGGCCGTGAAAGTTTACATTTTTCATTGTCATTTAAACATGTGCTATCAACGTCTGATACTTCTTTTCTCAAGGAAAGACCCAGTAAAATCATGTTTGGATTTAGTTTCTGAATTCAGTTCCAGTCCAAATTCTATGACTATAGCGTCAGAGCTGTCCGTTTAGAATGGATCCAGAATAAGATCTCAGTATGTGTATGTGCAACATTGAAAATAATTTCAAAGAGATATGGCCTTACAAATATAGTGGTTTCCTACGGCTTGGTAGGTTATTTAGTTTGTATATCAGTAATTTCGAAAAATAACAACGTGGAGTTAACAAAACTAATCATCTGATTCTACCAACTCTGTTTCCAACAACATGAACTGAAAAGTTCCAGGCCTAAGAAAGAAAACACGTTTTTTTTTTGTTCAAAATTGGCTCAGTTCATCAACGTAATCTCCATCAAGAGCCACACAATCATTTCAGCACCGCTTCAACATTTCAATACCACTTTTGTGGAACGATATGTATTTTGCCTCAAAATAGGCCTGCGAGTCGCTGGGAGCCAAATCTGGCGAATGTGGTGGATGTGGGAGAAATTCGAAGTTCAATTCATGTAGTTTTGCCATTGTTTTGATTGACTTGTGACACAGCGCGTTGTCTTGATGAAACAACATTTTTTTCTTCGCCAAGTACGATTTTGTGGATTTTTTTGTTTTCTGGTTTTACTGTCTCATATGGACGTCTGCTGCGTTCTGCATCATCGATGTCTCTACGACCACGCTTGAAGTCAGCAAACCAACGTTTAGTTGTTGTTTTTGATGAAGCGGAGTCATTATAATACTTTTTAAGCCATTCCTTCGCTTGAACGGTATTCGATTCCCATCAAGAAGCAGTGTAAAATCAAACACAAAATTGTTTTTGATTCATTGTTCTGAAAATAACAAAAGTAGTGCCATTCTTATCACAATAACTCACAAACTTATGAGTAAAATATCATGAAATTTCAACAGCTTCCCTTTGAAAGTCGGTACTAACTGAAAAAGCGGTGAAAGCAATAAAACTAGCCACATCTATGTGTTAGGTCCGAGACTCTCCAGCTCATGCAGTATTTACCTCTATTTCAATTCCAGTGGAACCAATATACCCAAACTTAATCTCTGAAAAGAACAGTCTTTTTATTTCTGAATTATTAAAATTTCACTGAGCCCAAATAAAAAGCAGATTGTGGTTATGATATTTGCCTTTGGTATTTGCATGCAGAGAGTTTGAATCTCAAAAGAAAATAATACGTGTCATCGAAGGGGTGAAGAAACCTGTTCACATTTGTCACATTTTTTTTCAACTCAATTTTCCAAAATGTACTGATCTTTAAATTTTCAAAATGTGTGTCTTTGTATTCAGAGGCAAAAACCGTTCCATCATAAGGAATATTTTTCAAAACTAGAATAGTCGTCACGCTAGAAAATTAATATATCGTATAAAAATTCATCTAGGACTGGTGTTGAAATGTATGACAAGTTGCCAGAGTTTCCCAAAATGTTAAAACTTGAGAATACCTCTAAGTTCAAACTAAAACAAATTTTAATGGAAAGATTCATTAGTTGAGTCAGTTTTAAAATATTGTATAAGATCTTGAGGGGGTACATTTGTTAACTCCATCGATAAGCAACAATATGTACTGATATATTTAAAAAACATAAATGCTATTCAACAAAGAAATCGCACAAAGAAATTAAGATTTTTGACATAGGAAGTTTATATGTTTTCCAGTGCTTAATCAATATTTGTCCAATGAAGAAAATATATCGCCTGTAGAATAAGTATATGTGTGTGTGTGCTATGCTACACATGTAAATCATGTACAATATACGGATTCTACCAAACTGTGCCTTCAAAATGGACACCAATATGTCTTGCAACAACCTTGTCGCTGGAATCGCAAAGGCTGTTTCTCGAAAGAACACTTTTCCGAACCAAAAAACTGTAAGACATCTGCAACTTTTAATGCTTTATAAAGCTCATATCAGACCTTCGTCGGAGTATTAATTGTTCTCATGTATGGAGCTCCGCCGCTAAGCATACTTTGAAGCTACTGGATTCCATCCAGAAAAGAACCATCCGTCTGATTGGACGAACATCACTTGCAACCTTGACAGTCTGGAACATCAAAGAAAGGTTGGAAATTTGTCTCTCCCCTGGAGATACTTTCACGGGAAGTGTTCAAGTGACACGGCACATTTGATTCCACCAAAAGCGGTACATATCAGAAATAGGCAAAGGACTGTGGCTGCTCATCGTTTTGAGGTTCAACTCAGTTCACCTCGAACTTCACTGTTTGAGAACGTTTTTCCAAATGAATTTAATCTCCAGATAATAATATCCAACATGAATCGCCACTTCCGCACGGACACCGATTTAAAGGTGCCTTAAGGTTTTTTCTGTAGTGCTTGTGTTTTGTTCTTGAAAAAAAAATCCTTCGTCTAGATATACACCATTGCTTCATCATTCAATTGCTTTACGTAATTTAATTCAATATGGATCACCCAAAAACCAACTAAATCCATAATACAACATACATTTGCTCAGGTAATATAGTCATAATATTAATAACGTTTATTTACACTGAAAAAATATACAAATACATATTACAAAAGTTACATACAATGTTGGTGTAGAATAAACTAGTTACTCACAAAAATCATAGATTGCGCATGGTTTACTTGTCTTTGGAAATGGTGAGTAATTTCTGGTATAAATGTTATACATATTTCAGTGTGGCAGACGTTTACTCAAATGATTTTTATGCCTAAAAGTAAGAAAACCAAAGATTTTGTTCAACAGTTAAATTGCTACTCAGCGGATTCAAAGGTCTTGTTCGCATATAAGCCTTAACGTTTTGCCGCTATTGATACACCTGAAAACAGGTAAATGTGCACTTCTTGCATTCAGATGTTTTCTTATTGGGCTTATAGAGAAACCTTTTCTAATACTGAGGTTTCAATCAACAGAATATCATCAAAACGATTGTTAGTTTTTTGGAATTACCTAATGGACGACATTTACAGCAAGTGTGACCTCAATTAAATGGATGGATAAGAATCCTTCTGGAGGCC